GAGAGAGAGAGAGAGAGAGAGAGCTTTAAGATACCTTAACCAATACATCTGGTACCTAAACCCCTCCCATCTAAGCTGATGTGGATTTATTTTTGTTCAACAAAACAAAAACAATAATTTTGTTTGTAAATTATCATTTAATAACAACAATATTTTTAATAGTGTTTTGTGTATTGAATGTTATAATTGTGTTATAAATTGTTTGCTATAATTGTGTAAAAAATGTGTGAATTTTTAGAAAAGTTTAAAATTTGTTATAAAATTGCCGCAAATGTTAAACAAAATATTTCGAAACTACATGTTTTTACTGATTGCTATGAAGAATATGGTGATGATAATTATAATATATTATATGTGACCAACGATGATATGGTCTACGGACTGGGCAGTAATGGCCAGGGATGTCTGGGTTTGGGACACAGAAAACTAATACAATCACCCGAACTGATCCCAGAATTATGCCAACAAAACATACAATACTTTGTCAATGGCATGAATTTTGTGATAGCAGTGAATGCCATGAATTGTGTGTACAGTTTCGGTAGCAATGCTTGGGGACAATTGGCCCACAATAGAGATGCCTATCATTATTCTATGATCTGCCATAAACCAGATATAATCGCATACTTTAACGATAAAAGTATTGTACAAATCAGTTGTGGTCCACATCACGCACTGGCCCTCACCGGTGATGGCCGGGTGTACGCCTGGGGTGACAACTCTTTTGGACAAATTGGTTGCGGTTATAATGGATATGAGAATGGGATTGTTTATACACCAATTGAGTTAACATTTGGTGATAATTATAAAATACAATCTGTATATTGTAATTTTAACTGGTCCTTTGCCATCACCACCGATGGCCATGTGTTCAGTTGGGGTAACAATAAATGCCGTCGATTGGGACACAGTGTGCCCGAAAAACACCCTGTGTTTGGATTTACGACAGAGACTGTATTGAACCCCCGATTGATTGAATCCATAAGTGATGTGAAGACTATCACATGCACTCATTTTAGTACAACATATAATCATAACTAATAATAGAGTAAAAATATATTTTTCGGGCAAATATATTGGCTTTTCTTATAATATTTATTTATTTTTGGCGTCAATTTTTGCGTAAACTTCTCCTGTTTTTTGGCAAAAATTCTCTATAATTATATTAAAATGATTTGTTGTGTGAATTCAAGCGGTTTTCTGACAACAAGTCTATGAATTAATAATATATTTATTATAAGTATATTCTTACCTAATATATTGATAAATATAAATAAGTTAATACAAAATATATGTAGAGAGAGAGAGAGAGAGAGAGAGAGAGAGCTTTAAGATACCTTAACCAATACATCTGGTACCTAAACCCCTCCCATCTAAGCTGATGTGGATTTATTTTTGTTGAACAAAACAAAAACAATAATTTTGTTTGTAATTTATCATTTAATAACAACAATATTTTTAATAGTTTTGTGTATTGAATGTTATAATTGTCTTATAAATTGTTTGCTATAATTGTGTAAAAAATGTGTGAATTTTTAGAAAAGTTTACAATTTGTGATAAAATTGCCGCAAATGTTAAACAAAACATTTCGAAACTACATGTTTTTAATGATTGCTATGAAGAATATGGTCTTGATAATTCTAATATATTATATGTGACAAACGATGATATGGTCTACGGATTGGGCAGTAATGGCCAGGGATGTCTGGGTTTGGGACACAGCAAACTAATACAATCACCACAACTGATCCCTGAATTATGCCAACAAAACATACAATACTTTGTCAATGGCATGAATTTTGTAATAGCAGTGAATGCCATGAATTGTGTGTACAGTTTTGGTAGTAATGCTTGGGGACAATTGACCCACAATAGAGATGCCTATCATTATTCTATCGTTTGCCATAAACCAGATATAATCGCATACTTTAACGATAAAAATATTGTCCAAATCAGTTGTGGTCCACATCACGCACTGGCTCTCACCGGTGATGGCCGGGTGTACGCCTGGGGTCGCAATGGATCTGGACAAATTGGTTGCGGTTATAATGGATATGAGAATGGGATTGTTTATACACCAATTGAGTTAACATTTGGTGATAATTATAAAATACAATCCGTGTATTGTAATTTTAACTCGTCGTTTGCCATCACCACCGATGGCCAAGTGTTCAGTTGGGGTCGCAATGAATGCCATCGATTGGGACACAGTGTGCCCGAAAAACACCCTGTGTTTGGATTTACGACAGAGACTGTATTGAACCCCCGATTGATTGAATCCATAAGTGATGTGAAGACTATCACATGCACTCATTTTAGTACACATTTTCACACAACTAATGGTTTATATTTTTGCGGAGAATATTATGATAACATTAAATTTAAGGCAATACCAAAACAGATACCGCTTAAACAGAATTTGCAAGAATTACAACAAATTAATTCATATATTAATTGTAAAAATGGAAAATTTATTTGTGTTTTGATTGACAATAAGGTGAAATTTATATCAAAGGATTACAAATTAAATGATACGAAATATAATAATTTTGTGGACTTTTACGCAAATGAATGCCAAATAACTTATGAAACAATTGATTTGAAACAACTAAATGACAAAAATATGTTAACCTCAATTAAAAGTGAAAATAACAGCGAAATTAAAAGTGAAAATAACAGCGAAATTAAAAGTGAATTATTGAAAAAGTTTACAATTTTTGACCACTCGTTGTGTGACAAAATTCCGTCAAATATTAAACAAAATATAACAAAATTACATGTTTTTAATGATTGTCGAGAAGGATTTAATGTATTGGTTGTGACCAACGATGATATGGTCTACGGTTTTGGTCATAATAGTGAGGGATGTCTGGGTTTTGGACACAACTGTCCTCTACTATCACCAGAACTGATTCCTGAATTATGTAATCAAAACATACAATACTTTGTCAATGGATCTAATTTTGTGTTAGCAGTGAATGATAGGAATATGATATACGGGTTTGGATGTAATAACTGTGGACAATTGGCCCGCAACAGGGACATTCATGAACAAAATCAAAAACCTGAAATAATAGCATATTTTAATGATACAAATATTGTACAACTGAGTTGTGGTTCTCATCACACACTGGCGCTCACCTGTGATGGCCGGGTGTATGCCTGGGGCGCCGAACTGCCCGCTCGCGGTAAATTTAACATCAAGCCTAACAATATTTGTACACCAATTGAGATACAATTTAATAATGATTACAAAATACAACGCATTCACGCTTACACTACCTCTTCATTTGCCATCACATCCGACGGACATGTCTTCAGTTGGGGTTTCAACCGAATGCATGAATTGGGACACCTTATCGACACCGCTAGTGTAGATACGCCCCGATTGGTCGACACGATTGATGGCGTGAAAGCAATCACTTCCATGGGTTACTGTACACAGTTTCACGCGAAAAATGGTATATACGTATGTGGTCAATTCAGCTACCTAGTTGGAAAAATAAAATATCCCCAATTAATACCATGCAAACAACAGTTTCAACAATTATCCCAAATTGACTCATACTTTAATTGCCTCAAACAATTTATTTGTGTTTTAATTGACAATAAGGTGAAATTAATATCAACTGAATTCAAATTAATTGATACCGAATATGATAATTTTATTGACTTTTACGCCAATGAATACCAAATCACATACAATACAATTGATTTGAAACCAATGAATGATAAAATTAGTGAAACGATTGAACTTAAATGTGAAAATAATAGCCAAAAGAAAAGTAAAAAGAAAAAGAAAAGGAAAAATAAAATTGATGATAAAAATGATAATATATGTGAGAACTCAAGTGATAACATTTATAACAACCAATTCATTGATATGTCAGCCATAGGTTCGGGTGGTTTTGGGACTGTATTTAAAGTGAAGCATAGATTGGATGATAAGATATATGCCGTTAAAAGACTTCAATTTGTGGGTAAATATAATTACTTGTTTGAATTTCATTAATTTATAAAAGTTTTAATTTATTTTAAAATTTTATAAATTATTTTTACAGATATTAGTGAAGAAACAAAACAAATAGTTCTCAAAGAAGTCAATAGTTTATCAAAACTGGACTCAGATTTTGTGGTCAAATATGAAGATTCATGGCTTGAGTCCAATCATCTCTACATTCAAATGCAATTCTATTCGCAAAGTCTTAGATCTGTTCTCAAAGACAAACCCATTGTCTTCGGGAGACAACCGGAAGAAGAGTTGAATGTTTTTGAATACTTTATTTCGTGTGAAATATTCAAAGAACTTCTGGAATGCGTTGAATATCTTCACTCATCGAATCCACCGGTCATTCTTCGGAATCTCAAACCGGAAAACATATTAATTGATAACAATTTTATGTCGAATCGGTTTATAAAAGTGTGTGACTTTGGTTTAGCTACTGATCACAACAACGACAGACAGACTGTCAGTCCATTTGTGCACTCAGTTTGTGGTACTTTTGGATATATAGCGCCCGAAGTTCTTATGGGTAAACAATATGACCACAAATCAGACATTTATAGCCTCTCTATAATCGGCGAAGAGTTGTTTGGCATTGATCTCCAGGAGTGAGTATTTTATCACTATTTAAATGTTTAACATTTATTATATTTATATTTTGTATGAATAAATAGTTGGATATTAATTGAGGCGAAAAATTTGGTGTTCAAGAAATGCATACTAAGCATATACGGGACACTTCTGGATATGATGTCAACACCTTTTTGGAGACAAAGGCCTGAGTGTCGGGAAGTGTTGGCCAAACATAACGAGTGGTCTATCGATAAGACTGTTGTCACGAAACAAAACAATTTCAATGAAGTTTTAAATACACTTAAATCTAATGATAATTCAGTTGTCTATGAGATTTTGTTTCGCAAAACACAATAATATAAAATTTATAACTTTCTATAAACAATTACTTTTGTAACTTTAATTAACATCTATTAATTTTTTTAATAATGTAATTTTCTAATGACTATGCATTAGGTTTAAAATTAATTAATAATTAATTATTTAATAATTACTATGTTTTATAAATTGACAATAAATTGATTGTAATTAAATTAATTGTACTTTCAATAAGTTTTATTACTTTAAAATAAATAACTAAACAGTAATTAAATTATATATCAATTGAATACAACAAATAGTAGACATGAAGTGATGACTGGGAATGAGTATCGCATCGATTGCATCACTGATACGGATGTCGAGCGTGAGGTCCGGTCGGCGCCCCCGCCGTCACCCGTGCTCTTGGGCTATGATCTGATGGTCAGTATTCATAGCAATTCTGGTGGAGATTCTCAATAGAAGTGTTAATTGTGATAAAGTTTGTGACGAGTAGTGGCTCTCTCTGTGTTTATTCTGTGCAAAAGTTGTATAGCAATAACTTTATTCAAACTTATTTCACCAAAGTTTTCACAACCAACAAGTTTAAACTCCTCCCATATAAGCTGATGTGGATTTATTGTTGATCAACAAAACAAAAATACATGTACTAATTTTTTTTGTAATTTTTCATTTAATTACAACAATATTTTCAATAGTGTTTTGCGTATTGAATGTTATAATTGTGTTATAAATTGTTTGCTATAATTGTGCAAAAAATGTGTGAATTATTAGAAAAGTTAAAAATTTGTGACAAAATTCCCGCAACTATTAAACAAAATGTTACAAAATTACATGTTTTTAATCACATTAAAAAAGGATTTAATGTACTTTTTGTGACAAACGATGATAATGTCTATGGATTCGGCCATAACACTAAGGGATGTCTTGGTATGGGACACGACAATCCTCTACTGTCACCGGAACTGATCCCAGAATTATGTCATCAAAACATACAATACTTTGTCAATGGAAGTGATTTTGTGTTAGCAGTGAATGACATGAATGTTATATACGGTTTCGGAAATAACACATATAGACAATTGGCCCGCAATACAGATACCACTATATATTGCAAACCAGAGATTATACCATATTTTAATGATAAAAATATTACACAACTGAGCTGTGGTTATAACCACACACTGGCCCTCACGGGTGACGGCCGGGTGTACGGCTGGGGCGACAACTTTTTTGCTCAAATGGGTTGCGGCAAAGAAGGGCCGATGTGTCCATACGTTTGCACACCAATTG